CAGGCTTACTTGTCCGTTGGAGATGAAATGTATACCCTGCCAGACTGAAGTCGTTCCCGCAGCCTGAGCACTTGACCATTGTCGACTTTGGCGGTAACAGTGGCTCCCGAACAAGATAGAATCAAAGCTCTGTACTGTTGCAGATTTGTTAAGAAGGTTCTTGCCAGGAGCAAAGGTATGTACTTAGCCGGTCCAGACGGCCTGGCGGCACACGGACCATGTCGGACATACACGCGAGGAGCGGAGCATGAATTGCAGCCGCGTCATCTCACTTGCTCCCCACGCTTTTTCGCTGCCCTCTCACCCTCTGTCACCAGTGCTGCCTTGTTGGAGTCAACTGGACTCGTGGCACTGCCGCACTACTTCCCGCTCGCACCTCTGACTTGCTGACAAGAACGTAACTCAATGGCGAAACCACAGACTCAGGATGTGGATGTTAGCGTACCGTCCTCAGCACTGACAAATCGTGCTCAAAAGGCTGCGGCGACACGAGCGCGCAACAAGGTCGCGCAGGAGGCCAAAGACGCCCTGGAGCTACAAAAGCCAAAAGGTAAGTAGCTCACCATGTATCCAGCACCTAGAATGACTTATTCTAGCATTACGTGCCAGTCGACCGTAATGCAAAAGCAAAAGCTGTCGCAAACGCAGGTAAGCGCTAGGCCTCTACTAAACCAACAAGTAGGTGAACTCACGGTGATGCAGTGTGGATGAAGAAGACTGAAGCGGCCCCTAATCGGAAGCGCGCTGGATCGGGAACGATGCCCACGATCGCAAAGGAGGCCAAAAGATCCAAGAAGAGTAAGTCACATACACCACTATAATTAACAATGATGTGACCTCTTCACGTTCCCAGGCGAAAAGGCTGCCGACCAGAAGGCCGAGGAACCAGCGCGCAGTAAGTCAACCATGTAGTTTATTAGAAGCTTATACAATGATATGCCTTGCAGGATATGCTGCACCGTTGCTCAACGCGTCCGATGCTGAGTCAGCATCTGAGGAAGAGGAACAGCACAGCGACGATGCGGAGCACGTTGAGCTTGAGGGCGAGCTGTTGGAGTCAGATGACGAGCGGCTGATGGGACTTGCTCCTGCCGGGATGGCCCATGCCCTGGGAGCGGAAGTAAGGGTCATGCTGCTCTCGGAATATGTCTAATCTTGTTATATTTGCCAGGCGGCATCGTGGCAAGGTGCGGAAGACGACTCCGACCCTGTACTTCATGTGCCCCCCAAGTATCAGCGGAAGTCCTTCAAGTCTCGTAGTTCAAGTCAGTCATCATTCGACTCGAGCTACATCAGTGTACCCGAAGACGACGACTCCGCTATCGAGGACACTGAGGCGCCTGTTCCACCTCTTAGCGTGGCCAAGCAACCATCAGTCCGTCCTAAGGCGTCAAAACCTTCGGATGCAGCTCGGAGATATCTGCCTGGATCAGCGGATCTTTTCGACAGTGACGAGGATGTTGTCGTGGCGCACCCGTATGAGGAAGCGCCTGGCCCGGGGATGAAAGCGACGAATAGAGGACGCAAGAAAACGGCTGAGGTGCGTGCGATATCACTCTGCTGAGGGCACGGCCTGTAGTATCTTTATCACGGCAGAATGTGTACACAGACTCTTCGCGTCCAGTGAAGTCGAAGCGAAAGTTGATACAGGAGTCAGAGGTACGTTATGGCTGCCTCACACCATGGGAATAACACATTGTGACAGATTCGAAGGCTCCCCGTTGGCGCAACTCTGCAACCGGAGCTGGCCACGAGCAAGCCGCTGCCGCTCCTGCATTTCGAGCGCGCTCTACAGCCATCGACTCTACCGTCGTGAAGCATGATGTATGTGACGTTGTCTCTCAAAATGGACGCGGCGCCCACTACGATATGACGGAGCTCGTCTACAACCCTCGAGGCACCCTCAATCTGACCGCGCAGACAAGAGAAATCCAGGAGGTTGTGCGGATCGCCATTGACATCATTACAGTCGGTATTCTTATGGACGAGGCCTATCCAGACATGGGAGATAAGATTAAGTTGGGTGTTGATGCGTGTGCTGATGCTGCAAGGGAGTTGGGAGATGATTATCTCCCCATCCTTCAGAAGCTGAAGGATAAGAGGGAGAAAGTGTTCCGTCACTCTCTCGGTGCTTTGGTAAGTGCTCTACCTCTCTGTAATTCCATACTAAGGATGTATAGCCTGTTGGCCGAATAAGCCTCACCCGCGGAGAAATACGCACCGTCGCAGTTGCTCAGGTGGTCGGGCATTACGGTCTCACTCAAGGATGCGGCGAGTACGCTGCCGGTCTACTTCAAGGGCAACGATACATCTTTCCTGGCGACTTACGTGTACGTGCCATGTTCGAGCCCTTGGTGGCTTTGTCCCTTGTCTAACTGAGTATCCTACTCTTCGGGACAGCCGGGCGGGCGCTTCAAGAGCAAAGAGCCATACCGTCATCCGGCGGTCCTCAATGTCTTACAGCAAGCTATCTTTACAGGACGAAGCTCGTTCGCAAGTGGTCATATCCAATTATTCGAATCTAGCTCAAAGGATTATCCCGACGAGAAGGAAGTCCCACTGGCAATGTTAGCTCTCGTGTCGACGGCAGTAAGTACCTGCATGTTTTCTCCATGACATACTAACATGATCCCTGTCTCCGATGCTTCTAGATTCACGCCGCGATCGATGAATGGAGCTCGGGTACAGTTATGCAGCTCGACTTCAGCGGGAACCGATTTGCCGCGGTCTATACTGCTCACAAGGACACCCTCAAGCACATACAGAAGACCTCGCCGAAGTTCTACCATGAAACAATGGCGTATCTCTTCAAGACAGCACGGTACATTTAAGTATCCCTTCACCTTACTTTACGCTTATCACTGGCTGCAGGGGTGCTACGTACGATCGTGCTGGGGGGGATGTCGTGAATTCGGCCATCACTCTGATGGATCTCTCCGGGCTGGACTGAGTTTGTATGCTTCGGTCGTGATTCAATTTGTCTTCTCTACTACTGTAGCATTGAGCAATTGCAATATAATGTTGATGTCTAATCATATAATCG